ATTAGGGCTACAAGGATCCCACTTGAACTCCAGGCTGGGTTCACCAAATTTTCCAGCTCAATAAAATTAAAATACTGGGTTCTTCTGTCTTGCTTTTAGACGTTTCAAACGTTTGTCAATAAAGTTTTCTTCAAGCAAAGTTTTTCCCCTGGAGCCCTGCAAGATAAGGAACCGTGACAAGCCCAGCCTAAGTGCCCTGAGTCAGGCTTTGTTTGCACACAGCTTGGGAGGCCTCTTCCAGCAGCCAAAGCCTCTGGATATTGTGGAAATATCAGCTCCAACAAGTTGAAAATCTTTTTTTTTTCTCCCCCTGCAGAAAAGCTTTAAATTCAAATTCAAAAATTCTTTGTGGAGCTTTCTTGTTCTTATCATTCCAAGCAGGATTCACTAATTGGGGTAAAAAAACCTAATTTTAATCTATTCCTGTTCTGTTCACCATCTTAAAACTGGTTTATATTTAAGAACATCTTGCTCTGAAAACACCAAAAAAAAAAAAGAAGTTGGAAGTCAGAGGGGAAGGAAACACAAAATTGCTGTTCAGCCTGAAGAATTTATTTTGGAACTTCCAAAAAAATTCAGAGTCCTGCCAGATCAAAGCATTTCTGCAGTTTCCTGGAGAAGTCATCAAAAAGAAGGGAATAAAAGGGGCAGCCTGTGGAATGGTGCTGACTGGGCAGTGCTGATTTACAGGAAAAAGGGAGAAAAACGACATTAATGGGAATTTGCTCTGCTGTGCCTCACCCTCTGACTGATGGAAGCTCTTTGCACACCCTTTGTGGCTTTTTCTGCATTCTTGCTGACCCCAAAATCTCATTTATGGCTTTCCCCCCCTCCTTCCTTAAAACCAACCAGCAAAAATCAATGTACAAAAACCCAACTGTACCTGGTGAAGAAAAGCAGTGAAGAGATTACCAACAATGTAAGACTCAATAGAAAAATTTGCTTTTTTTGACAAATAGCTTTAAGATTCGAGGGTGTTTTTGCAGTGCTGTTGAACTTTACTTGAGGTAAATCATTCCCAGGACAAATATGGCCAAGTGCTGAGTGCTTCCATAGGATCCTGGCAGGAGGATCCCACTGTTTATCCAAGGAAGGTGGGGAACAATGAGCATTTCCTACTCTGCTCCCAAAGCCAAACAATCGAGCTGCCCACTCTCCTTTATCAATTCCTTATCTATTAATTACCCAAACTTCCTCTATGAAGATTATTGGGGCCACATCTCCTCCTCTGCTATGTTGCCAAACGGGTTTTGCCTTCAGGGCTTCTCTTTCAGCGCTGGGGAGACTTTTCTAACTAGAAAATCCAACAGGATTTCTCTCTTTGGAGGTTAAAAATATTCCCTATGGATCATCAGCACGGCAATCTCTATTTGAACAGAACTATTTTCTCTTGGCAGTGCCATCATTTGCTAGGAAAAGCCTGGAACATTTCATTTCTTGAAGCAAACAGAGGGTACCAAAACAGAAATGTTTGTTCTTTTCTCTACAAGGTTGGCCCGAGTTTGGAAGGATTTGTTTTGCCTCGATGTTTTGCATTTGCAAACTTTATTTTTGTGCCTTCTCGTAACCCTGAACTCCTTAATCACTCTGAGGTATGAATCAGCCTGCCCTGATTAACACTTTGTGTTCCTGCTGAGGTGAGGAGAGAGTCTGGCTGCTCATCCTGCCCCAAAACACAGGAATTCCTCAAGAACCTGACACAACCTGGGTGACAGTGACACAGCTGGGATGTCCCTCCTGGAGCAGCTTCCCAGTAAACAGGGCCATGAACTCTTTATTTTGCTCTCTTCAGATCCTAAAATATTCCAGCCAGGCCACTCCGAGCTCGGTTAAATCCATCACGGAGTGTTTTGAGCAGCGCTCAGCTCTGCTTCTGCTCACGTTGATTTGTGGAGGGAGGACCTCAAGGTGGTTCCAGGGCATCATCCGTGACCTTTCCCTCAGCTGGACTGGCTTCAGATCCACTCCAGGGATGGCTCCTGAGCAATCCTGAGTCAGCCCCGAGTCCGGGAATCCCTGAGAGCAGCCAGGTGACTCAGCTGGGCTTTGGCAGGGCAGCAGGGAGAGACAAGCAGCCCGGGGCTGGATGGGAGCTCAGCATCTTCATCAGCGTCGTCATCATCAGCGTCATCATCATGCTCATTCCTGCTTCACTCTCGTCTCATTTGACTCCTCTAATTAAACTGATGAAGAGGAAATCGTGGAATGGGTTGGCTGGGAACAGACCTCAAAGCCCATCCAGTTCCCACCTTTCCTGGGACACCTCCCACCATCCCAAACTGCTCCAGCCCCAATGTCCAGCCTTTCCTTGGGCATTCCAGGGATCCAGGGGCAGCCCCAGCTGCTCTGGCAATCCCAGCCCAGCCAGGAATTCCTCATTCCCAAGATCCCATCCATGGCTGCCCTCTGGCAGTGGGAGCCATTCCCTGTGTCCTGTCCCTGCAGGCCTTGTCCCCAGTCCCTCTGCAGCTCTCCTGGAGCCCCTTCAGGCCCTGGAATGTGCTGGAAGCTCTCCCTGGATCCTTCCCTTCTCCAGGGGAACATTCCCAGCTCTCCCAGCCTGACATTGGATCCATCTCCTCTCCAAGAAATTCATGGACCCAGAAGCTTCGCTTGGAATCTCAGGAAGCCATGAAGGGTCTCCCTTCCCTTTTCCTTTATTTTCTATCCCAATTTTCCATAAAAATCCCTCAGGATAGATCCTGAGTGTCCCAAATCCCAGAATCCTGGACCAGTTTGGGTGGGAAGGGACCTCAAAGCTCATTCCAGGGACACCTGCCATGATCTCAGGGTGCTCCAACCTCCCCTTGGACATTCCAGGGATCCAGGGGCAGCCCCAGCTGCTCTGGCAATTCCAGCCCAGCCAGGAATTCCTCATTCCCAAGATCCCATCCATGGCTGCCCTCTGGCAGTGGGAGCCATTCCCTGTGTCCTGTCCCTCCAGGCCTTGTCCCCAGTCCCTCTGCAGCTCTCCTGGAGCCCCTTCAGGCCCTGGGATGTGCTGGAAGCTCTCCCTGGATCCTTCTCCTCTCTCTCCAGGGAACATTCCCAGTTTTCCAGCCTCCCCTGCCCATCCTGGTGCTCCCAAACCCCAGGAGGGAGGAGCAGCAGCTTTGGGGTGCACAAAACCCCCTTGGAGTTGAAGGGAACTTTTCCATTCCATATTCCAACTTCCCACCCCTCTCCTGGAGCTGGAGCTGCGTTCCCCCAGCTGAGGGACCAAGGCACAAAGCTCTGGAGCTGCAGGAATTCCTCTCCAGCTCCTGTGGACAACTGGAAAACCAAAGTTGTTTTGTGAGCCTGAACCCATCAGACACCTCCTGCCTCCAGCAAAAGCCGCTGCAATTCCCAAAGGAATTCCTCTCCTCTTGTTCCTCCTCGTTCCCGTGGCTCTGCCACCCTGACATGGATGGTTGGGGTTTCTCTGAGTGGTTTTCCTGCCTGCTGCTGGGCTTGGGAATGAAGATTCCTGGGATATTCTTCATCCCAAAATACAAATTCCCACCTTCCTGGAGGCTCCATCCATTCTGCCTTTGGGCATAGTTTGCAGGCCATTAATTATCTTTAATTTTCGATCTTTAATGAAGGAAGGTTTAATGGAACTCCTTAATTTTCTCAGGTGAAATGTTGGGATTTTTTCTTTTCCTGAAAAAGAAAAAAGGCTCTATTTTTAATTTCAAGTTTAGATTTTCTTCCTGAGCAGAATATACTCCTTTAATTCCCAAAAAAATGTTCCCTTCCAGAGGTTTCTGTGGAATGCAGCTCTTGGAAATGCCACTTTCCTTCCTGGAGCAGTGTCCTGGGCACAGGGATGGTGTCCAGAGGCTTGTGTGATCCAAGGAAAAGCTTCCTCTGATCCTAAATACATTAGAATTGTGTTTATGGTACTTTTCTCCAGTTTTTGCCATGGATCAGACACATTCTTGCCTCAGAATTTGGGAATGAAGGGAGCAAAATCCCTGAAATTCAGAGGATTTGCAGCCCTCTGTTATTCCCAGATTTTTGAGAATCCCATGGCATCTCAGGATGAAGAAGAAGAGGAAAAAAGACAGAAAAGGGGGAAATCTCCCTCAAAAAAATGAGAAAATGGTGTGGCTCATTTGGGATCAGACACATTCCTGCCCCAGAATTTGGGAATGAAGGGAGCAAAATCCCTGAAATTCAGAGGATTTGCAGCCCTTGGTTATTCCCAGGTTTTCTGTAATCCTGTGGGATCTCAGGATGAAGAAGAAGAGGAAAAAAGACAAAAGGGGGAAATCTCCCCCAAAAAAATGAGGAAAAAATGATGTGGCTCATTTGGGACTAAAAACCCACAAAAAACCCACCAAGAGACACAAAATCCCTCCATCCTCTGGCCAGGAGAAGCTGGAAAAAAAATCTGGCTGGAAAAAATTCCTTAAATCCAGCAGAGGGTGGAAGTTGGGAGCAGAATTTGTTTGCTCAGGTGGAGCTGGTTCCATAAATGTCTCAGCTTTGTTCAAAATTGGGATTACAAAGGGCCCTTTGTGTGTGCCTCAGCTTCCCTGCAGGAAAATTCCCCCCAGGACATCTCCCAGTGCAATTCCAGCCTGGAATTCTATGGGAATCTCCAAGGCTGCCTTGTCAAAATAGGAAAATGAGGCTGTAAATTATGATTATTTTTATTTTTGCTGTTGTAGCCTTTTTTTGGATCAAACAGAGCTTTTCCTGCAATTCCCAGTGGAAATTTTTACACAGAGTCCCTTTTTATTACAGAAAATCAGGGTTGTGAATCCAAAATTAAAATTTTTGGTGGGGAATGCTGCCAATCCTTTGGCTTCCTCCTTCCTAAAAAACTCCACCTTGCCTTGCCTTGGCTGTGCTGGGAGCTGTGGAAAACATGGAATTTATCAGTTCTGCAGCAGGAATTAAATACTAATAAGAATATAATAATAATAATAATGGGGAAAATAATAATAATAGGAAAATAATAATAATATTAGGAAAATAATAATAATTTTAATTTTTTTTTCTGCTCACAGGTACCCTCTGAGACGAGGCAGCTCCTTCACATTCCTGACTCCAGGCCCACACTGGGATTTCACCCTGGTGAGTGGAACAGCTGGAAAAGCAGAAATCCAGAGGTGATGGAAAAGCAGAAATCTAGAGGTGAAGGAAAAGCAGAAATCCAGAGGTGAAGGAAAAGCAGGAATCCAGAGGTGAATACTCCTCTGGAAAAGAAGGAAAATCAACATTTTCCTTGGAATAATTCCTGAGTTTTCCAGCTCCTGAGCTCAGGGAAATTCTGGTCACTTTTCCTCGCTGAATTCCTGATTTTCTGATGTGTTTTAGCCCTGGCATGGTGTGAAAAGAAAATGAGGGGTTTTTTTATTCCTTAAATGCAAAGAAAAAATCTGGATTTTATTGGTGTGGAGAAGCTCCTCAGAGGGAATTTTTGGTCTTGTGAACTCTTTTTTTCCATCCTTTATTTCTCTATTTATTTGTTTATTTATTTTGTCATTTATTTATTTAGGTGCAGGTAGGGGAAGATTTCCCTTTGGAATTTCCCTCTGGAATTGTATGTCCTTCAGGCACAGAGGGTTTTGAGGAATTCCAGCTCCTGGAATCCCATCCTAAAGCTCATTCCCATCATTTGCTGCCCTTGGAAGTGCTGATCCCATCCTCAAACCTAAAAAATTTCCCTTCCCAAACCCAACCCCTGGAATTTTAGCACAACCAAACCCACAAATTCTCCTCAATTCAAATTTTGCTTAATTTTTAAAACTTTCAGCTCCATTGAACCCAGATTTTTAATTCTTACAAAGCATTTTAAAAGTTATTCTTTTAAATCTGAAAATTTTGTGCTCTAACAACACAAACTATTTTTTCCCCCCCCCAAAATATTCCTATGCCAGTCCCAAAAATCCTCTTTTCATTGGATGATTTATGCAGAAGTTTGGCCAAAAGGCTGGAAAATAAACCTGGCTTGGGAAGAAATTTAAAATCCTAAGCCAGAATTTTCCATGTCTGCCAAAATGGGATGGATTTTTAGGGAATGATCACTGCTTGTTCTGTGTAATTCTAAAAAAAAAATATTAAACATCCTCTGACTGGAAGCAAAATTCCTCATGGAATGTTTCCCTTAATTTCATTTTATTCCTCTTCATTTGATTTTATTAAATTTCAGTTTAATTTTTGAGGATTTATTTCTGGGAAATCAGAGCTTTGTGGATTTAATGATCCTAAAATCTCAATAAAGTTTCTGACTTCAGGTGGGCAAAAAGCACCAAAAACCACTCAGATCCTTCCAAACCAAAACATCCTGGACTGAGGCAAAAAAGGAGAATTTAATTGGAATTCTTTTCCAATTCCCAGTCATTGCTTCCAAAGAATTCCTGGAGCTTCCCTCAGAATCCTTGAAATTCCATGAAATCCCTGCTCCTGAGGTGTTCTGAAATAAAATCCCAAAATATTTTCATTTTCCTTCATGAGCAACATCTTTTTTTTTTAACTTTCTGCTCTACAAAGCCCCTAAATTGGGTCTGGGGGTTTCATAATTTTGGGAAAAGGAATTTTTTCCATAGGATTTGTGGGCTGAGAAAAAAGGAATTTTCTATATTAATAACTTTTGGAAAAGGAATTTTTCCATTGAATTTGGGGGCAATGAGAAGGGAAATTTCCCACTTTAAAAATTTTGGGAAAAGGAATTTTTCCCACAGGATTTGGGGACCATGAGAAGGGGAATTACCCTTTTAATAACCTGAGGAAAAAGAATTTTTTCCACTCAAATTGGGGACTGGTAGAAGGTGAATTTTCTACTTTCGTAATTTTGGGAAAAGGAATTTTTTTCACAGGATTTGGGGACCATGAGAAGGAGAATTTGTCCCTTTAATAACTTTGGGGGGAAAAAAAAATTTCCACACAATTTTGGGGGCTGGGAAAACTGAATTTTTCCCCTGTAATAACTTGGGTAAAAAGGAACTTTTTCCACACAATCTGGAGACTGGAAGAAGGAGAATTTTCTACTTTAGTAATTTTGGGGGAAGGAATTTTCTGCACAGGATTTGGGGGCTGGGAGAAGGGGAATGAGTGGGATCATGGATGGTGGAAGACCCAAAACTGGGACCAAAAAACCCATTTTTTCAGTTGCTTTTCCATCCTGTGGCTCCAAATCTTTGGATTTGAGCCGTTTTCCCTGGATTTTTTTTTTTTTCTCTTCTGGCTCTGGAGTGCAATGTCTAAGATTTTATCCAGAATTAAATAATTGGGCAGAGGAAATGGGGCTGCAGCCAATGGAATCCTGAGTCTCGCCAGTTTAAAAACAACATTTTGGCCTCATTTTCGTGTCTGGAGTTTTATGGGAAAAAATTAAATCAAACACAACATAAGGAACCAATAAATCCCAAAAAATAAATCTTTCAAAAATGAGGGGGGTCTTTATTGCAGCTTTTTTTTTTTTTTTCCCTCATAAAGAAATCCTGAAATCTTCATTTTTTTGGGGAAAAACACCTAGAAAAAATCCTAAAATCCTCATTTTTTGGGGAAAAAAATCACCTGGAAAAGTGTGGCCAGAGCAGGCTTGGAGAGAGAACTGAGCTGGAAGAATTCCCCGATCCCAAAGAAAAATAAAAAAGCTGGATTTGCATTTTTTCAAGGCTTTCAGGGGTCTGGAAAAGGATGGAGACAGAAATATGGGATTTTTTTCCTCTCTGCTTCAGCAAATCTGTCAGAGAAGGGATTCATGTGAGAGTTGGGATCTTGTCTTTGCAAAATCAGGGAAAAAAAAACAGAAAAATAGAAATAAGTAAGGAATTTTATCCTTGAATCCAAGCTGAGGAAAGAAAACAACAGCCAAATTGCAAAAAAACCCAAAATATAATGAATTATTGAGTGAATTTCTGTTAAACACCACATGAGCTGGATATATTTAATATTAAATTATAGCATGGTGTGGACAGATTTAAAATTATTAAATTTGTTATTAAATTATTGAAATATGTTGAAATTTGTTTGAAATTATTGAAATAAATTGAAATTCAAAGGATTGAGGCAAAAAAGGAGAATTTAATTGGAATTCTTTTCCAATTCAAACCCAGTCATTGCTTCCAAAGAATTCCTGGAGATTCCCTCAGAATCCTTTAAATTCCATGAAATCCCTGCTCCTGAGGTGTTCTGAAATAAAATCCCATAATATTTTCATTTTCCTTCATGAGCAACATTTTTTAAAATTTTCTGCTCTACAAAGCCCCTAAATTGGGTCGGGGGGTTTCATAATTTTGGGAAAAGGAATTTTTTCCACACAATTTGTGGCCAGGAGAAGGGGAATTTTCCACTTAAATAAATTTTGGGAAAAGGAATTTTTTTTTTTTCGCACAGCTTGGGGGCTGGAAGAAGGAGAATTTTTTACTTTAATAATTTTTGGGGAAATGAAGTTTTTCCAGAGGTTTTGGGGGCTGCAAGAAGGAGAATTTTCCACTTAAATAAATTTTGGGAAAAGGAAATTTTTCCACAGGATTTGGGGCTGGGTGAAGGGAGAATTTTCTCCTTTAATATTCCAAAAACAGTGGGAAATAACAGGAATCTCAGTGCAGATGCCTTTGATCATTATTCCAATGGTTCTGTTCTTGGGAAGGGAAAAAAGCTGAGAATTCCCAGGCCAAAACCCTCATTTTTATCCCACAAAATCCTTGGTTTTTTTAGCCACTCGCATTCCCAGCAGGAATTCTGCAGCCACAGCTCTGTGCTGGCCATGCCCAAAGGAAGGGGAGATCCCAAAGCTCTCACACACAGGCAGAGACTTCCTAAATAACAATAAAAATATAAATAAATAAATAAAAAATAAAAATCCTGAACTTCTGGATCCCTGGAATATCCAAGGCCAGGCTGGAGCACTCTGGGATAGTGGAGGTGACAAGATTTGGAACAGGATCCCAAAATCCCTTTCAATCCAGACCATTCCGGGATTTTATGACTTTAAATAAATCCCAAATCATTTCCCATTGGTCCCTGCTGCTGCCACTTCCTCCTTAAAAATTCAGTTCCCAACCAGAATTAAAGGATGAGAAGCTTTAAGATAAATAATTTAATTTCCAGGTGACAAACTTTATTAAATAACAAAAAAATTGTGTTCAACTTTTAATTTTTTAGTTCTTACACTTAGCTGGGCATGTAAAAAAGGAAATATCTCCAGATTACTGTATTCAAAATTACATTTCTGACCCCAAACCCATAATTTTGTTTGGTTTCTCCCAGAAGAGGAAGCGCCGAGAGAAGGACGACGACGCTGTCAGCCTGAGCAGCCTCGACTTTAAGGTACTGAAAATCAATTTACAACAATTGGAAATGAATTTACAACACCTGAACATGAATTTACAGTATTTCTAATCCCCTTTTTTGGCAATTTCTGTGGAGTTTTCTGGGTTTTGAATTTCAGGTCGTGCCCAGCTGGGTTTGCTCCTCTCCCAATCCCAAATTCCAAACCCACTCCAGGTTGGATGTGGTGTGAAATAAATGAGTTTCACCCACAAAATGTCACTTTTTGTGCCCTCCCACTGCAGCACTTTGACCTCCTGGCAGGAGCAAAGGTGCGGTTCCTGTTTTCTTGGCATTTCAAAATACATTCAAATATTTAAAGACGCTTTCAGTGACGCCAGAGCTCTGCTAAAGCTGAAATTTTGGAGTTATTTGAATAGAAATATTCATTAAAATTCTTTTTAGCTGCTGACCAGCTCAGTTTGCAATTTCCTTTGAGAATCTGAGGGCTCTCAAAAACCTCTTTTTGTGTTTAATGCTCCTTTTTAATGGTGTTTTAGGCCATAAAAACACCATTTTTAATATTTTAATAACATTTTCCAATGCTCAAGGCCTCTGAGTCCTCTCCCAACGCTGCTGCTCCTGCTCAATCCCAAATTCCAACCCTAACCTGGGTTGGATATTGGGTGAAATAAATGTATTTTCTCCACAAAATCAGCATTTTTTCAAGGGGCAGGAAGGCAAACTCTGCAAAGCCTCTTCAAATGTTGTTTTATTTTGATTTCAGTGCCCTGGGTGGGGGTGAGAACCAGCTGGACTGGCTGGGTGGGAAATTGTCCTTAAAGCTGGGGATTGAAGGGATTTACAGAGCTCTGGTGGAGTTTTCCTGCTTTTCTGAGGGAAAAAAATGCTACATTTGTCCTGAGGTGAAATTTTTCCTGATTTTGTTGGGGAAAAATTCCAACATTTGTACTGAGGTGAAATTTCTCTGGATTTTCTGAGGGAAAAATTCCTTCATCCCTCCTGAGATGGAGCTTTTCCTGCTTTTCTGAGGGAAAAACTCCTACATTTGTCCTGAGGTGAAATTTTTCCTAATTTCCTTGGGGAAAAAATCCTTCATCCATTCTGAGGTGAGGCTTTCCTGAGGGAAAAATTCCTTCCCATTGTACATCTGTCTCTCCTGAGGTGAAATTTTCCCTGCTTTTACTGGGGAAAAATTCCTTCATCTCACCTGAGGTGGAGCTTTTCCTGCTTTTCTGAAGGAAAAAATCCTACATTTATCCTGAGGTGAAGCTTTTCCTCCTTTTCTGAGGGAAAAACTCCTTCATCCATCCTGAGGTGAGGCTTTTCCTGATTTTCTTGGGGAAAAATTCCTTCATCCATCCTGAGGTGAGGCTTTTTTGAGGGAAAAATTCTTTCCCATTGTCCATCTGTCTCTCCTGAGGTGAGGCTTTTCCTGCTTTTCTGAGGAAAAAAATCCTACATTTGTTCTGAGGTGAAGCTTTTCCTGCTTTTATTGCGGAAAAACTCCTTCATCCATCCTCAGGTGAAGCTTTTCCTGCTTTTATTGCGGAAAAACTCCTTCATCCATCCTCAGGTGAAGCTTTTCCTGCTTTTGTTGTGGAAAAATTCCTTCATTCATCCTGAGGTGAGGCTTTTCCTGCTTTTCTGAGGGAAAAAATCCCACATTTATCCTGAGGTGAAGCTTTTCCTCCTTTTCTGAGGGAAAAACTCCTTCATCCATCCTGAGGTGAGGCTTTTCCTGCTTTTCTGAGGAAAAAAATCCTACATTTGTTCTGAGGTGAAGCTTTTCCTGCTTTTCTGAAGGAAAAACTCCTTCATCCATCCTCAGGTGAAGCTTTTCCTGCTTTTATTGCGGAAAAATTCCTTCATCCATCCTGAGGTGGAACTTTTCCTGATTTTCTGAGGGAAAAAATCCTACATTTGTCCCGAGGTGAAGCTTTTCCTGATTTTCTTGGGGAAAAACTCCTTCATCCATTCTGAGGTGAGGCTTTTCCTGCTTTTCTGAGGGAAAATTCCTTCCTATTGTCCTTCTGTCTGTCCTGAGGCAAAGTTTTTCCCACTTTTCTGAAGCAGGAATTCTTTCAACCCCCCTGAGGTGAAGCTTTTCCTGCTTTTCTGAAGGAAAAACTCCTTCATCCCTCCTGAAATGAAACTTTTCCCACTTTTCTGACAGAAAAACTCTTTATCTGTCATGAAGGGATGCTTTTCCTTTTTTTTTTTTTTTTTTCTGAGGGAAAAACTCCTTGATCCCTCCTGAGGTTCATCCCTCCTGAAGCTTTTCCTGCTTTTTTAAGGGAAAAACTCTCTCATCTGTCCTGAGGTGAAGCTTTTCCTGATTTTCTTGGGGAAAAACTCCTCCCCATTTTCCATCTGTCTGTCCCGATGGGGACAGGAAGAGAAAAAGGAATTTTCCTGTTTATCACCTCTTTAGTTGAAGCTTAACTAAGTGGGGTTTAAGGTTTATTAGGCTGAGATTAAAGGTAATTTACTAGTGGGGCATTTCCTGTGTGACCTCATGACCAGGGCATCCTGCTGATGTCAGCTCATTTGCATTTCTGAATTAATTATTTCTTCTTAATTATTTCTTCTGGGTTATTTCTTCTTGATTATTTTTTCTGAATAATTATTCTGGAGTATTTCTTCTGAATTATTAATTCAGAATTAAATATTCTGAATATTTTTTCTGGATTATTTCTTCTGAATTAATTATTCTGAAATATTTATTCTGAAGATTTTTTTTCTGGATTATTCTGAATTAGTTATTCTGGGTTATTCTGAATTAGTTATTCTGGATTATTTCTTCTGAATCATTTCTTCTGAATTATTTCTTTGGAATTATTTCTTCTGAATTAATTATTCCCCTGGCATTGCTGGATCCTGCCCAGGCAAATTCTGGGTTTTGACCTCTCCAACCTGGATCTGTTCCAGGTCAGATCATCCTGAAATTCCAGGATAGGAACAGAGCAAAAAAAAATAAAAATAAAAATAGAGGTTGTGACCCTCTGAACCTGATTTTTTAAGATTTGTTTTGTTCCTGAAGGAATTCTGGGTTCCTGATGCACTGGGAGTGTTCAGACAGGGAAATCTGCCCTAAGGGAGGAGGATTTTCTTATTTTCTATTTTTTTTAATTGGACAAGCTCTTCACATGGAGAAAAAATTCCCTGTGTTAGGATTTCTCCCACTAAGCAATTGTGAAATTAAAACATCAAATCTTCCAAAGGACAAAAGGGGAATCCCTGGGCTGAAGTTCAGATTTTCTTTCACTTCATTTTTTAATTTATTCTTTAACAAGGATCAGCCTCTGCTGGACTTGTGGGATTTTGAGGCACACCCACCAAAGGAGCTCCAATTTTTTTTGTTAAAATTCATGAATGGTGCAGCTGGAATTTTAATTTCCAGGCTTTTTGATCCCAACTCTCCAGGATTTTTAAAGTTTCAAAATATTCCTGTCAGATTTCCCAAACTCACCACCAGCTCTTCTAAACCCCATTGAGCTGACCCCAAATTGTTCTTTCCTCTGCCTGCATTTAACCAAAATGAACCCAAAACCTCAAATCTGGCTCCATCCCAACCAAAAGAAAATCACAAGAGAAAATCACAATAATTCAATCGTGTACTGATGAAACCACGTATATTTTTAACCCCTGATAAATTGATTTTCCAGGGTTTTTCTCTCTAAATCTCCAGCAAAAATGGGATTTCAGCTCCAGCAAATTTAGCTGAAAAATCCACAGTTTGCCACCCTACCCCATATGCTTTTAAAATAAAGCTAAGGGGATTATTTAATTTTCAATTAATTGAGATCTTTATTTATTAATTGGAATTTATTTTGGTTTTATCAACTGGGATCTCTTTTATTAATTGGGATTTTTTCTGTAAAGCTTCAGCAACGCTTTTTAAAGCTCCCATATCCAAGTTATTCCACACACTGGGAATTTGGGATGTGGAATGGTCAGGGGGATCATCCAGAGGCCTTTATTTGTTTAGAAATAAAATTCATTTATTTCCTGATTCATTTCCTTGCTTTTTACTCAAAAACCCAACCAGATCCAGCAAACCTTTGAGACTTCTGTTTTCAAACCTTCCAAATATTCCCAAAATCTGAGCAGGATTCCTTCAGCCTCTTCTCTTGTGCCTCCTTTGGGGAGAAAATCAGGAATTTTCTCTTGGGATCATGTCTAGAGCTGCTCTAGAATATAATTTATAATTGACTATAAGAAATGGGAATGGAGGGCAGGAAATTCAGTTTTGCTGCTTTAAAGCTGAATTATTTCTGCATTTCAGGTAAGTTTGGGGCAGTTTGTGATCCCAAATGGTCTCCAAAAGTGACTATAAAACTACTGGGAAAATTGGGCAGAAAATTCAGTTTTTCCTGCTTTAAAGTTGAATTATTTCTCCGTTTCAAGTGAGTTTGGGGATGTTGGTGATCCCAAATCACCCCCATAATTTACTACAGCAACCATAGGAATGGAGGGCAGGAAATTCAGTTTTTCTGCTTTAAAGCTGAATCATTTCTGCATTTCAGGTGATTTTGGGGTTGTTTGTGATTCCAAATCACCCCCATAACTGACTATAAAAATTAGGAAAAGAGGGCATGAAATTCACTTTTTCATGTTTTAATCTCTGGACTTCAGGTGAGTTTGGGGCTGTTTGTGATTCCAAATCGCCCCCAAAACTGACTATAAAGAAACTGGGAAAACTGAGCAGGAAATTCAGTTTTTCCTGCTTTAAAGGTGAATTATTTCTCAGTTTCCAGTGAGTTTGGGGCTGTTGGTGATCCTGAGTCACCCCCATAATTTAATATAACAACCATAGGAATGGAGGGCAGAAAATTCAGGTTTTTCTGCTTTAAAGCTGAATTATTTCTCCGTTTCAAGTGAGTTTGGGGATGTTGGTGATCCCAAATCACCCCCATAATTTACTACAACAACCATAGGAATGGAGGGCAGGAAATTCAGTTTTTTCTGCTTTAATCTCTGCATTTCGGGTCGGTCCGGGGCCGTTGGTGATCCCGAGGCGCGGCTGAGTCAGGGAG